CACAATTCCACGCAGCGACCAAGACACTCCGATGATCATCGAAGAAATCTGTCGACCTTTTCCAAACGTGCGTTGGGTCGACTGATTTTGCGCATCGTGATTGGCCAACGCGTTGCAAAGTCTTGGAGGTGCACTGTTGTAAATCGCCCGTATTATTGGCAGTTCTATCCAGTGTTAACGGAATCCACAAGTTTGCCAAGAAAAGTGGACGCAAAAAGCAAACGCTTTAGATTTAAGTGATCTTTTTTATTCACTCCACTTGATGTATTTTGTTGCGAACTCGCCACTTCGATCCTACAATCCGTCCAAAGAAAAGCACACTTATATTTTGCAGCGATAAAAAGAACAATGAGATTGAATCCTCAATGATGACGTTTACAAACATAAGTGTTGGAAATATGGCAGCGACTGAGTCAAGCTTGCTGGATAACATCATTTTCTTTTTGTGTTACAATTGTGCGGAAGAAAAATTGCTTTAGTTTTCATTGTTTTTGTCATTTTTGATATGTCAAAAGCCCGAAACCAAATTTTGAAACACTGAGCATGTAGATTTTACCGTTTTTCCCCTTGTTTTCAGATAACTGGTAATTGATTGCAGTTACAACAAATTATTCCCTTCCGTTACTAATTAACTTCCGAACAAATGTAGCCATCAAGACTCCCTTGCAGAAAATTAAATTATGACGCCTTAACGCGCCAGTGCGGCTTGAGAAAGGAATCATTAGTTATAAGATTAATTTTTAATAAATTTTCAGATATAATCACCCTTTAGTAGCAATGAAAATCGTCACCACCAAAGGACGTTATGTTGAATTTAGGAGATGAATTTATTTGAAAAGGATGACACTTTGTCCTACGAATTGTCGTTTCTTTTGAATTTTTAAAAAGGCTCTAAGCTGGTATAGAAAATTGAGAGCAACAGCATATTTATTGCTTCTCGTTTGGTAATCAGCAACATAATCTTTTGTATGTTATCGTGTCCATTATTATAATCAGCAAAAAATGCATCGTTATTAATGTATCGCCATTCCCAGTTTCATTTAACAACACTGGCCCCCTACACGGCAACCATGCAGCTCCGGTTTAGCTGACCATACGTCTAATTCTATTCGAATTTTCCTACCACCTGCCCCCAAAAAGCATCATGTTCTTTGTCAATGTCTTTGGCATTGTAGCCATCTGTACAGCAATCAATACTGCATGGGGGTCAAGCTTCTGTCCCTCTCTGCCCACCATGAAGTGTTCCTGCCCATCAGGGTGGCAACTGTGGCAGAAAGCGTGCTATCGCCTAACTGAGTCAAAGGCTAACTGGGAGAACAGCAAGTCAGCTTGCCAGGAGATAGGAGGCAAGATGGCCGCCCCTCGCTCCCTTAAGGAAATGAATTTCATGGCGGAGTTGGCAAAAAAGAAGGTCAACAACTACTACGTCTGGATTGCTTGCAATGACATTGAAGTCGAAGGAAACTGGACATGTGACGTCCTGGGAGATGGCGACCCGTTCATGGGATGGCAACCTGGGCAACCAGATAATGTTTATGATCAAGATTGTGCTGGAATAGCTGCACGACACAATGATAAAATGGATGACGATGAGTGTATTAAAAACTATGAAGCCGTTTGTGTTCGTCATGCTGTCTGCTCTCCTAGGTCAACCCAACTGCGTCACTTCTGCTTCTCCAGTGACTATCCCAGCCGATTTCTCAACGCAACCTGCCTCTTCGACCACGTCATCCGGGAGTTTACCACTGAGGGGGTTACCGCCTGTGGCTCGGCCTGCATCAAGGAGCCCGGATGTCGCTCCTTCAACATCAAAAAAAGCGAAGGAAGGAAGCTCTGTCAGCTGAACAACAGCACGCGCTTGGACGACAAGGACAAGTTTCAAAACACCAGTTATTTCTGCATGTACTTGGAGGAATGTATCGGCTGATTTTGAAAATCTTGAAGAATAAGTTTACATTCATGATCATGATTTCTATGTTGGAAAACAATTTGGATGTGGTGGTTGCGACGACAAAATTTGGACCATTATTTGGAAATTTGGTGAAGTTAATTTTAGTATATACATTTTGCTGTAGAAAATAGGACTGAGAGCGCTGGAACAGTCATGGTAAAACAATTTGGCTAGTATTTTAACAGAAAAGAAAGGTCTTCAGTGAAACTGAAAAAATGGTCAAATTGGTATTTGTGTCTTTTGAGCTCATATAGTATTTAAGACTTGGGAAACATTGCCATTTTCGATTGTTTTGATGTGTGACACACACACTTTTGCTTTCTATAAAAATCTTAATGCAAAGGTACCCGTTTAAAGACGAAGTCGAAATTATCTACAGGCTCTGTTAACTAAGGATGGTCAGTCCTGCACCACTCCGTTTATTTGCCCATCACTAGAGCAGCTTTCAACATTACATCCTAAAATAGTAGGCGTTCACCTATCAAATGCAGTCAATTTGATCATAGACGGGGTTTACCCGACAGAGGGTCTCTGATATCTTGCCACATTGTCTATAAGAATCGTGCTGATTGCCCATGTACGTGTTGTTCAGGGTATGTTGTTGTTGTGTTGTTGCTGTTGTTGTTATAGAGGGTTAAGAAACGTTCTTCTTGTTGTTCTTGTTGTTGTCGTGTTGTTGTTATTGTTGTTGTTGTTGTTGTTTGTTGTTGTTTGTTGTTGTTGTTGTTGCTGAATTTGAGAAATTAGAAAAACTGTTCAATTCTAAATTGCCTCATTTGAGAGGATTATGTCAGGCGAAAGAAAGCTGACCTTCTCTTCTGACGATACACAGTGAAACGCATTCACGGACTAGAACTATAAATAGACTAAGAATCATAGTTAGCCGTTATACCACACCTCGTTGTATTGCACTGAAACCTCAACAGTGTACCTGTAACAAATATCACCCTATCAAAAATCTCCCCTCTGATAGAGTTTCAATTGCCATTATACAGACTGCAATCCTTGGTATGAAACCCTTCTGTTTTAAACTGTGCAAAAGAAGCTCAAAGTTTCCATTTGTGTGGATGTACTATGAAGCATTTTTATTCGAAGCATTCCACCTTGGATTCCAATGGGGAAGATCTTTACTCTTTAAAAATTAGTCGGTGTTTTCGAATAAAACTCTACAATTGTAGTTAGAGAACTTGAAGTTTCAAACACCTGGTTCTGTTACTGTGAATGTCATTCTAACTTGATATTGAACTTTCAAACAACTTGATCCGTAAGACTGAGAAAGGGCGTGGTCGGGAAACATATAATAAGGGCCTGTTACGTGAATGGTCATGACAGGTTCCAAGATGATGGACTTCTCTTCAATCAAAAAAGAGATCCTGAAATTAATATAGCGTTGTTCCATCATACCCTCACGTACACGCACCTACCTGTTTTACATACAAAGTGTGGACATTCCTTTGTTCTCGTGTGGTTAAGGACACTTGAGGAAATGCTCCTTTTTCTCCAACTAGGATAACTCCGAGCTGGATTTTTGATGATGGTTTCCTACACTGTTCCTCTTCATTTTGCGACGTATAACCTTGACCCCAAAATGCCTCGGAAACTGTTTTTCAGAGAGGGAAAAGCATTGCGTGGACGTGTGCGAGTCCACACAACGCCATCGTACCATGCATTATGTGGACTTCTTTTGTGCAGAGGTCCCTACTGTGTTTGCCACACCTGCATATTGACGGGCTGCATGAAATATTTTTCGTAGTGTATCGAGCTCAGTCACCAATGTGTTTTTCTTTCCTTGATTCTTGTCTTGGGCATATTGGCGCAACTCTGTTGTCATCATACAAGATTTATTTGGAAGGAACACCCGAGAGAAACCACCAGAAAAAAATTAAAAAGCGCCTGATATGATTGTTCGCTTTTTCTATTCACTCCTCTTTGGCTACAACTTATTGAGATGGATTTCTTAGATTTCCGTCAAATGATCACATTTTTGGAGAAATTGCTGAAATTCCCACTCGACAAGTTGAGTCAATTCAGACGCAAATTGTAATGAGGCTGAGCACACAATTCTGTCCTTGGCTGCTTCTAGGTTTACAAACCAGGAATTAATTGCAAATGTAAGGGGTCATTTAATTTCCGAGATTTTATTTACTACTGAAGCAAAACAGCAAATACAGCTTCAAAACAAGCCATTGTCTGTAAGATTAATATCTAATGCATTACGCACATAATCACTGATATAAATCGCAACAAAAACGGCCATCTCCAAGGATAGTCACTTTCCATTAAAGAGCAATACCATTGTTCTCGTTTTTCGAGAGCTACGTTTTATTGTTGTCATTTATCTTTTTCTCTGTATCCAACACTTAGAGTCAATAGCAAATGCATACAAATCAACACAAAACGCGTCCTATCAAAAGCCTGTTCCACAGTGTCCTTTTTGCGTCATTGGATAGCCACACTTCAAACGAAACACCCCAGCTTAGCTAGCGCATCATTCTATTATGCTAAAAGAGTCATCATATACGTGTTATAAATTGTTGGTATTGTAGTAATCACTGCCGCGATTAGGATTGCATAGGGGTCAGACCTATGCTCCTCTCTCCCTACCAAGGACTGTTCCTGCCCGTCAGGGTGGAAATTGCAGCAAATATCGTGCTATGGGCTTACTAATTTCAAATCTAGCTGGCAGAGCACCAAGTTGTCTTGCTAAAACATGGGAGGCAAGATGGCTGTCCGTTGCTCGGATGCAGAAATGAAGTTCATGGCAGATTTAGCATGACAGACGTACGACAACTACTTCACCTGGATTGCTTGCGACGACACTGAAGTCGAAGGAAACTGGACGTGTGACTGCAAGGAAGGAAGCAAGCCGTTCATGGGATGGCAACCTGGGCAGCCTGATAATAAGGGAGAGAATCAAGACTGCGCTGCAATAGCTGCAAGATATGATGACAGGATGGATGATGGCCGCTGTAGTGAATTCCATGATGTCTTCTGTATTTGTCAGGCTGCCTGCACTCCTCAACCCAACCCAACCCCGTCACTACTGCTTCTCTACCAACACCCACGACCGCACTCTCAACTCAACCTGCCTCCTCGACCACGTCGTCCGGGAGTTTAGCACCGACAGCGTCACCGCCTGTGGCTCAGCCTACGATGAGGATTCAACATCATTCAACATCAAGAAAAACGGACAAGGGAAGAAACTGTGCCAGCTGTACAACAGAACAAGCGCCGAAGACAAGAAAAAGTTCTGAACCATTGTGGGTTTATGTATCCACCCAGAGGTTTGCATCGACTGGAGTTTGAGAGTCTTGGAAAGGTTGTCTTGTGAATCGCCCGTATTGACTTTTTTAAATTCAATCATCTGTGTGTATCTATATCATTACACGAGTGTTAACTGAATATCTGCCAATGAAATCTAATGGTTCACTCACAACCGTAAGGGTTCACAGGGAGTAGAGCTAGAAGCTGAAGCTTTCGTTACATCCAATGCGACAAGACCATACAGAGAGGTTCTGTGCTCCTGGGTAAGCAACCCAGTCCACAGTCACACCTGCTAAAAACTTTTTGTACTCTTACAAAAGGATTTCAAATATATAGGCTTAAAGCCTGGAGAATCAGTTAGAGTTATCTTTACAATTGCCTATGGACCCAGCTTCAGGGAGGGATATGAGGCCAGACACTTTGAATCGGTATAGGACCATTTCCAAAAAGAAGAAGTTGGTATTTATTATACTTCTTTTTCTATTCATTTTCACAGACACCCCTTCAGTGTTGTTACTTTCGAACACACCAAAGATTCTCTTCAATAGCAAAAATGGGTCTCGAATCATCAGAATTCAGTACAAACTATGCGTTTGTCTTCGGTCAAACCTTTGGTCAACCTTAATAAATTCGGTCAAAACTCTCACCAAAGCCATTTTTCATAAACGTGAAAGATCCATTTTGAAGACTGCGTGGGCAACAAAATACTATCCTCGTTGACAAAAAAGGAATTTTTTTCACGAAAAGTCACAATAATGAGGTTGAGAACCATATTAACAGTTACACGACACCTCGTTGGTTTATACTGAAACTTTAAAAAGAGTGTGTTCAAATGTGTTAATTCTATTTCACATCGAAGGAAAAACGTCTCTTGTTAAATATCTTGGATCATGGGGTAAAAATCCTGCCTCCCTCCCCGGTTTTCAGGGGGCCAAAAAGTCACGCCCCTTTATGCTTGAGTTTCCGTTTAAAGTTTCATTTCCATTTTTCCAATAGCAATATTTAGTTTAAATTTCGTGATCTAACCTAATATTTTGATATAAACTGAAAATCAAGTGGATGTGCGATGATGTCAGGTTATTCCAAGCACGCTGCTTTGGTTTTCAGCGTAGGGGATACGTACTCTGTTTCTCGTTGTAATACGTCAGTTTCTGTTTCCGATTAAAATACTCAGTTAATTAAGTAGTTAAGGAACATGAAGTTAGATTTTTTTCATTTCTTTCTTTGATAGTTACTAAAGCTTCAAAGTTTTTTACTGTAAACATAACGCACGGGAACACAAGAAAGGGTGTGGTCAGATGAAGTGGATAGGGGCCTGCATAAGAGTAGGGTCATCCAAGTTATCAGATTAGCTGGAATTATGAAAAAGATTTTACGATCAAATAAAGAGTTGTTACATAATCCCCATAAATGAAGTATTTAAAAAAATGAAGCAACTGAACTTGGGGTCCAGTTGGGGCACTTAATTTGGAGTGAATTCGTTTTTATGTAATTACTAATGTTGCAGGGACTTGGACAGGACAGTAACTTTGAAGTGCGCCCTCTATATTTGGACACTTGACACCTCACATGTTCAATACAATATTTGCTTATGTTTTTACAGTGGCAGGTTTCCGTTGAACAAAACCCAGTTTTTACAGCTTTCCTGTCCAAGCACACATTAGTTACACTTACAGTAATGACAGAAAAGTCTTGCCAAAGAAGCAAGTGATCAATTTATCAGCATTCTCAATGAAAGTGAAGTTATTTTCATGCTGTTAAAACCAATGTGCTTCCACATGTTTATTATGCTACAATGCACATGTACATGTAGTAAGTTTGCCTTGTATTTTATAAAGCACATACATGATACAGTAGTCAAAGCCTAAAGTTAGACGTTATATATAATTGATTTAGCAGTTTCTTGAGAACTATGACACCAGGATGAGTTCTGAGAGCAGAGATTTACTTATCGTTGGAACAGTTCGAGAAAGTAACTCATTTAAGGAGACAATTTACTACCTCAATTTTATCTGAATTTAAGGGAATTTCCATGTTCATTTATGATTTCCAGGACTACAGCCTTCCAGTTAATCTGGACTGAGAATTGCATTTGAAGAGATGCTTAAGATATTATTTATCTTCCTGTTGATGTTTGCCTAGAAAACCAAGATTTATGAGATACAATTTTGGACCAGAAATTACCAGTCCGAGAATTTAAGGAGATATTTGTAAGCTAAGTTTCGGAATCTTTCAGATAGTTTTCAGCAAGTTGCATTTACTAATTATGCCACTCAGATTAGTTAATCGTGAACACTGATAGTTACTCTGCATGTTTGTTTATTACTTTTAGATCATATAAAGATATAGCTATCCGATAGCAAGATTTCTTCTGTTCATTGGTTGCACTTCCCAACGGGCCAACTAAGAAACGATAGATCAAATGTATTATTTCCTTCCATACAATTACAGGAAATTGCTCTTATTAATCTACAGAGGGCGCCGTCAACGTAGCACAATACTATAAGCACCCCGACACACAGTTGGATTAGTGATGCATGCATACGAATCGTCCATTTGGGGGATTTTTCTCAGCCCAGTTCCATACTCTTTTCAAGACATCTAAGGGCTTCGTCTCAAATGCTTGACCGCGACTGGTTGTAAGACACACCTCTTTGTCAAGTCGATTCATCCTTCGCAGCATCCGATATTCTTTTGTGGCAGATTCTCCATGAGAATACTCAGATGGATAGAAAGAAATCGAAAGCTGCTTCTAAAACATTGCAGGGCCAAAAAATATAATTGTACCATAAATAAAAGCTGGATTCCACCTTGTAAAATAATGCTGAGTAGTGGATAATGTCTTGCTATGCATGAGGGCTTAGTTCGAATCCCGGTCGGTGCAGTAGTCAGCTATTTTATTTTAATATCATCAACTTTTTATGGTAAAAAGCTATGGTACCTTGTCTTCTCTCTTATGTCTTATGTAACAGTAACCAAGCTCAATCAGACAAACTTGCTTCTTTTTTGTGACAGAATTCTGTGGAAGATAACTGTACTGTTTTGAAATAAACAACACTTTCAATTTCGCCACTAGATCTCTAAGTAGGGGTGAATCCTGGTTGATGTAACCATAACCTTGAAGTGCATCGACTCTTTCACCACCACGTTCCTCGCTCCTTATTTTCACGCTCTAGTAATTACCGTATCATCGCAATGAAAAGCTGTCGCCACGCGTCAGCAAAGGTTGTCAGCTGAATTGGAGAACGCCATCTATCATTCATCAGAGGCTGCACTTTATGAAAAAGAGGCACCAGTACAGGCAACAGGCAATCTATCGCAACGGCTGGTTTTGGTCTGCCGTGTACGTTTTGTGATACCTCATACCATTAATTTACCACCGCCTTTCAACTTTCAAATTGAATCTCCCGAAAAGGTACGTGATCATAGAAACAGGATCTTTTGTCTGTCATTTTAGTCGTTATTATAATTAGCACAAAACACGTCTCTTTTATTCTTTGTCACTTCCACTTTTCATTTCGCGTCATCAAACCTCAACACTGTGTAGCCGACGCTTTATTGTAATTCTATTCACATGCGCCTACCAACTGCTGAAAGAGTCACTATGTACTTGTTCAAAGTTGTTGGTATTGTAGCCATCACTGCAGTGATTAATGCTGCATGGGGGTCAGACTTCTGTCCCTCTCTGCCCAACATGGACTGTTCCTGCCCATCAGGGTGGGGACTGTGGCAGACATCGTGCTATCGACTTACTAATTCCACATCTACCTGGAAGAGCGGCAAGCTGGCTTGCCAAAACATTGGGGGCAAGATGGCTGTATCTCACTCCCTCGAGGAAATGAAGTTCATGGCTAATTTGATTCGACATAAAGACAGCGATTACCACGTCTGGATTGCTTGTAATGACATCGAGGTCGAAGGAAACTGGACGTGTGACGGCCAGGAAGGGAGCAAGCCGTTCATGGGATGGGGACCTGGGCAGCCGGATGATGCTGGAGGGGATCAAGATTGTGCTACAATAGCTGCTGCACATAACGACAGTATGGATGACAATAACTGTTGTTATGAATACGACACCTTTTGTGTTCGTCAGGCTAACTGTACTCATCGCCTAACCCAACCCCGTCGCTACTGCTTCTCTACCGACACCCATGGCCGCATTCTCAACTCAACCTGCCTCCTCGGCCACGTTATCCGGGAGTTTACCACCGACAGCGTCAGCGCCTGTGGCTCGTCCTGCGTCGAGGAGCCTGGATGTCGCTCTTTCAACATCAAGAAAAACGGAGGAGGGAAGAAACTTTGCCAGCTTAACAACATCACAAGCTCAGAGGACAAGGACAAGTTCCAAACCATCGGGGATTTCTGTATCTACTCAGAAATTTGCATCGGCTAGACTTGGACTGTCTTGGATCTGCAGTCAATGATGCTTAACTTGAGCTTATAGAAAACAATTTCGTTTTGGCTGTTCATCAACGAATTTCTTTTGATTCTTTTGTTTGAAAATTTGGCAATGGCATAACGAGCGCAGCGTTTCAGTTCAGTGCTAAAGGAAAAGAGAGACTGAGGCGAAATAATGAGGCAGAGAAATACTTGGGTTCTCATTTGGAACGAAAGGGCTTGGATGGAAACGGAAGCGACTATGCATAATTGGATTCGTTTCAATTTTCAACCAATTGAAATATTTTGTCTAGAAACAATGCCTGTTTCTTTTCATCATCACACCTTATAAAATCGACTTTCTGAACATTATTTTTCTATAACTGCAAATTCACGACCTCGGAAACATAAATTTTAAACTTCTTTTAGGGCTTTGTTGTATTTATATTAGTATCATGACATAAAAAATGCTTCATTTGAAGATATTTTTCTTTCAAGCTGCCTGCTTCTAAATTCGCATTACATTTCTGGAAAAGATTTTGAAACTCTCTGATTTTATTCATCGATTCAGTGTTAAAACCATCCCTACGTTTGGGTTTCATTGATATTATACTGACGTTTGATCGATGTTTTAACTTTATTTCCAAGCAGCAACTAACCGTTCAATATCATTAACTGATCGCAATAACCTTTGACCAACATTAAGTTGATACAAAAAATATGTAGTCACTTGTTTAGAATCAATTCCGCCAGTAAAACACGTTTTTGTGTCTGCAGACAAATCTCGCGAACATTTCTATATCCGTTTTTTTATATCAATTTGGAGTACTGATGGATAAGAGACCAACAGTTATACGTGCACTAATTCTTGCTTATACACAAACGGCCTTTGATATATTTCAATTAAACAATCGTGACTTGAAATGTTATCGCTTTGTCGATGGGAATGGGAACAAATTAGTAAGTCCCATTACCAACAGGATTCACATTCGTTTTCTACGATGATATTACCTTCATCATGTTTAATTTGAGTAATGTAATATACTAGGCTACCAGTTATTTAGAAATCAGTGTTAAGTTACTACATTTTGTCAAATTTTTATGGTTGAATGTCTTAAGTAAAATGATATTTCCACTTATTGATTTTTCTCCAGGCCATTCGTTGTAGTGAAAAGTTAAATGTCCAACTTGCATAGTTTTGAATGTTCAAAAACGAAACAACCGATTTCGTCAGTAACTTTAAAATGTTTTAGAATTTGTAATTATTTTTTTTTTCTTTTCTTTTCTCAATCAACGAGAATTTGACAGAGTAACGAGACTCCAGAATCGATTTTATCTCTTACCGGAGATTCCCTTGTGAACATGAAGTAAATCTCTTTCAGTACTGAAAGTGCAATAGGCGTCTGCTTTTCTGATGAACAGGAATAGAATTGCCCGCAAGAGTTGAACTAACAACCAACGCTGCATACCTGACTACGTAGGTTTTCATGACAACCGTCGCAATTGGAAACTCCACTCACTATTCACATGGAGCGGATTCACCCGCAAATTGTCCCAGATTTCGAGCATCGTTTTTCTATTGCATTGATCGTTGAAATATTTTTTCTTTCTTTTTTGTTGTTGTTTGTGATGTTTGGACACAAGGGGCTGTATCTAGATATCATTTGAAACAATTCTGAGTAAAATTGAAATTATTTTATTTGTGAAAGTCCAGTTTGAAGACTATTTATATTTATTTATTGACAATACACTGGGAAATTTTTCACGAAATGTCACAATAATGAGGTTGAGAATCATACCGTATTTAGCAGTGGTAAGACACCTCTTGGTTTGTATTGAAACTTCAGAGCGAGTGTATTCAAATGTATTGATTGCTGCGTCACATCGAAGGAAAAACGTATCTTTTTACATATCTGGGATCATGGGGGTAAAATTTCAGGGGGCCAAAAAGTCACAACCTTTCATGCTTAAATCTACATTAAAGTTTCATTTCCATTATTCCAAGAACAACATTTGGTGAGAAATATCGTGATATGACCTAAAATTTGACGAAAATGGAAATGTACCGGATGTGCGATAATGTCAGTTTACTCTAAGCACGCTGCTTTCGTTTTCAAAATGGAGAATACGTACTCTGTTTCTCGTTATAAAACTTCAGTTTCTGTTTCTGAATAAATACTCAGAGTAGTAAAATAGGAACATGAAGTTACATTCTATCATTTATTTCTTTGGTAGATATTACAATTTCCTAATTTTTACAGCAAATAACTTGATGCATGGAAACGAGAAAATGGCGCGGTCGGGTGAAGTCTGTAGGGGCTGTATATAAGGGTGTACGGTCAATGATAACAATTGAGGTCAATGACCGACCCACAGCGGCTCTTCAAGTTTGTTGAAGTGCAACCATATTGCCTTAGCAGGCATGACAGAACGCTTCAGCATGCCTCACATGGTAAGAGAATTCACAGATTCAAAGATGCACGATCCTCAATCGTCACACCTGCGTAACTTCATTGGTACTCTGGTGCACTTTCTGAGCATAACATGATTATGACGCACATCGTTCTACGTGTCCTTTAATCCGTCTACCGTAGAAAAAAAGTGGTCTGTTCGCGGTAAACTCTTAGTGGTGCGTGGTATCGTATATCGCCCGTATTGACTGAGTGTTTTTAATTTTGGAAAGGTCTTATTGCCTAATTCATGAAAGAATAATTGAGGCATGAAAATGTGGAACGACTTATTGTGAGTATCAGCGATCTTTCAGTATCTTTCGGGTTCTCTTATGTGTAAGCAGTGGGCCGTTATGCACTGCTCATTATTGAAGTAAATCAGCGTGGTACGATTGTCAAACACAACGTAATGAACAATGCCCGAATGACAATGGCTGCTTTCAGTATTACGCCTCGTGCCGTTTTCCTTCACCATGAACAAAGTCAGAAAACCTGAGAGAAAATGATCATCGAAGTCGCACCCATGTACATTTTCAACGGCCCACTCACACTTCCTGCCGCCAAGGTTATTTATACGCATGCGTGCATAATTATGAATTTATAAGGGAAGAGGTCTTTTAATAGTGAACGTGCAATGCCCTAAAAAAAAAAGCAACGAGAGCTCACGTCATCGTCTGGTTGGATCATTTATTGCCATTCCACTCCCAGATTTACATAGGTGAAGGTAACGCGTCATTCTAGTACTCTAAAACCTTTGGAACAATCTGTCTAAGAGTTGCCATGTACTTGCTCAAAATTGTTGCCATTGCAGCCATCACTGCAGCGATCAATGCTGCATGGGGGTCAGCCTTCTGTCCCTCTCTGCCTGCTATGCACTGTTCCTGCCCGTCAGGGTGGCAACTGTGGAGGAAAGCGTGCTATCGCCTCACTGAAACAAAGGTTGACTGGGAGAGCAGCAAGTCAGCTTGCCGAGAGATGGGGGGCAAGATGGCTGCTCCTCGCAATCTAACGGAAATGAAGTTCATGGCAGATTTGGCAAAAAAGAATGACGGCAGGTACTACATCTGGATTGCTTGCAATGACAGCGAAGTGGAAGGAAACTGGATGTGTGACGGCCAGGAAGGGAGCAAGCCGTTCATGGGATGGGGACCTGGGCAGCCGGATGATGCTGGAGGGAATCAAGATTGTGCTACAATAGCTGCTGCACATAACGACAGTATGGATGACAATAACTGTGATTATACACTTTACGCCGTTTGTGCTCGTCAGGCTAACTGCACGCGTCACCCAAACCAACCGCGTCACTACTGCTTCTCTACCGACACCCACGGCCGCATTCTCAACTCAACCTGCCTCCTCGGCCACGTTATCCGGGAGTTTACCACCGACAGCGTCAGCGCCTGTGGCTCGTCCTGCGTCGAGGAGCCCGGATGTCGCTCTTTCAACATCAAGAAAAACGGAGGAGGGAAGAAACTTTGCCAGCTGAACAACAGCACAAGCTCCGAAGACAAGGACATGTTCCAAGGCACCGGAGATTTCTGTATCTACTCAGAAGTTTGCATTGACTAGATTTGGACTGTCTTGGAAAGTCGTCAATGATGCTTAACTTGAACCTATAGAAACCAATTTCGTTTTGGCTGTTCATCATTGAATTTATTTTGACTTCTATTTGGAAATTTGGCAATGTCATCAGGAACCCAGCGTTTCGGTTTAGTGCTGAAAGAAAAGAGAAAGTGAGGCGAAATAATGAAGTAGAAAAGTACTTATTTTCTATAAATGAATATAGCTGGCTCATTGTTGTGTTTCTTAGATATAAATTAAATTGTTATGATTCCGGATCGAAACGTTGACTCTATTTTATTTTCAACATGTTGTGTTAAACTAGCTCAAAAACTATATATGACGAGTTTTGCCCTTACCCAACGTGTATTAATAAGCACTGTATGCTCAGTGCTTGTCCGAGAGCTTGCGAAAAANGTCCGAGTCAGGTGAAACAGCGGGTACCGCGAATTATTTTCAAGATGTATTTTGCGTTGGGGAGATTTTATTTATATATAACGAGTTTTGCCCTTACCTTAATATAATTAACATCTCCCCAACGCAAAAATACATCTTGAAAATAGCTTAAAAACCATAACAATTTAATTTATACTTAAGTTCTCATTTGCAGCAGAAACGGCTTAGGTTTGAATGGAAGAAACGAATATGCATGGTCGTTTCAGTTTTTAGACCAATGCACATATTTCGTCTAGAAATAATTCTTGTATCAGCTCATTACACCCTTAATGAACTTTTTAAACTTTTTTATCTGTGAGTGCATATTCCAGACCTTGGAAACACCGAAAAAAAATTTTAAAAATTTCTTTCTTTCTGTGGTGTTTATTTTTGTACCTTGACATGAAAACAATGATTTACTTGTTCTTAGATGCCGCATGCTTGTAAATTTGCATTACAAAAGGATTTTGAAGCTCTCTGATTTTATTAATCGGTTCAGTGTTAAACCCAGACCTACAGTACTTTTGGATTTCCTTGATATTATATGGAATTTTCATCGATATTCAACATCTAGAAGCATTTTCAAGTAACAACTAACCGCTCAATATCAAATCGATCGCAATCCCCTGACTGAACATTAAATATATATATATATTATACATTCTTTCGTCAAATCTATTTCAGCCCAGTTAGGTCACTGTCATTTTTGAGCATTGATTGATAAAAGACCAGCAGTTACTTGCAATACACACACGGCATTTTTCATCAACAAATCATGATTTGAACTGTTATCGCTTTGTCGATCTCTGGATTATTTTCGTCCACTATATTCGTTGGTTTGTGCTGTGTTTATGATGTGCATTGACCACAGGTGGACGGTTTTGATGGGCGCGCATGTGGCATGAGGGAGTGGTCGTGCATGCGTTGCCCCACCGTCACTGCCTAGACTGTACAGTCACTTCACTGCACGATGAGGTTTTTTTGTTTTTTTTTAATAATCCGCAGAGTTTTTTCATTGTTGAAGGAAAGATCCTAAACTTGAAGGTAAACCTGCCGACCACTACTCAAAGCTGTGACAACATGCATGTTCGGGGGCCATCTTTCATCTGCAAATCACCCTTCACTGTGTATCATCCAGGCACCCGGGTTAACATCCTGCGTGGTCCACACAGTATATTTGCAAGACGAATTACATGAGCTGCGCTTTCAGCGTTAAAAACGAACAGCAGTTTATCTTGATTTTTTTTCAAAGTAGTAAACTCAAAAATGAAACAAGTCTGTGCAATGATACCCAAAAAATAACAGGTCCCGACAAGGGCAAATAATGAAAATTGTAGCAAATGGTATATAATACCTTTAATGCATAAAGGGTCGAAGAGGCTCAAAACGGTGACTTTGTCAGAAATAACACAGTCTCATTGTCGTCATGGTTGCCATTTTGGTAAGTAAAACACAGATAATTCCTCTTTTTGCATTTACGTAAATTTCATGGGAACAATTCTTAGTTTAGCCAAATTTTAAATACTTGCTCATAACTGTTCATCAGCTTCTTTATAAAAACAGGGTTACCCACCCTGTTTTTAGCAGGCATATTTTATGGTGAAGATCAGGTTTTTCACACGGGATCCTGAATGCTAGGGGAAAGGGCGGATGCAGAAATTTATTTTTCGAGACAAAACTTATGGATTATGGGGCATCACACATCGCAATGTCTTGATACGGTGAGTGAACGGAAATCTATTTAAAATTGGGAGAAAGGGACTTGACCACGCCTGTTCGTCTGTTGTGTTTTTTTTTCTCCAAATTCCTTTGCAAGATATATTATTCCATCTCTACAAGACAGTGAAACGGTAACTTTGCCGAATTCACAAAAGAATCGAGTCATACAAAATATGGAATGATGTAGGCCTATTCTAAGTGTAGCCTTTATTATCATCGCCATTTTACTTTTAGCTGCCACACACAACAATGAAATGCAAATATTAACCATCAGTTCTGCCCTACTGCTTCAGCATGGTCGGTATACTGTCAGAGAGAGAGAGGGGGGGAAGCTGAAGGCCTCATAATATTCTAGATGTTCTTTCAGTATTCGCATTTGCTCTTGAATGTAAGCACTGAGCCATCGTGCATTTTTAATTTAATTTGGTAAAACCCTTCTTCCATGGTAAAACACAGATATAAGCACATGTCCTTCATCATCTGTAATACGTTTGCCATTGTCTGAAAAAAGTCGCACAAAATGTTGTGAGCAATGACCTCATTGTCCTTTAACGAGGGCTGCAGTTTCCCTTACCATTAAATATGAATGTACACAGTCAAAAGGTAAACACGGCACCAAGTGCTCACGTCAGTCGTTTTGATCATTGTTGAAACTTGGAGTTGAAATATAGTCTCCTTTTGCAGACTGATGCACGCAGGTGAAGGTAACACATCGTTCTTATTCTATTCAAACTGTGCAACCATCCGGCGAAAAAGGGTGTTGTCGATCAGACAAATAAATCGGCTTCGTTTGATATGCTTACCCGCGACAGGTAATAACACACAACCTTATTTGGCACGTGGATTCATCCATCCCACTTAAGGAACTTATGAGTAGTAGCCACAATCAGGTAATTGGAACAGACTGCCTCTGGACGACCACGCCAGGGAAAGCGTGCAAGTGTGTACCAAATCAACATCTCGAGAGAAGGCGCAACTTCATGACTATTAAAAACTGATCAATATAGTTCCACTTTTATCATCACGGAGGTTAAAAGGTGAAAAAAGAATTGGAGAACGGGGTAATTAATTAATAATATATTGTCAGTTTCGTGGTATTACTCCCAGAAATAATCACGTCACGAGGGTAATGTGAAAAAAAACAAGTGAAATTTTAATCATGTACCTGCAATGGCTCTTTTAGCTTAATGATGTGGAACCATTTCATTGATAAACACCAAATGGAAGGGGACTGGACAATATGAACCGTGCGCAGTTGGCCTATGGGTAGGCATTCACCGCATTCAGTTCTTTTGTTAGGAAAATTTGAACCGAGTCGTGGGGACATTTCTAAATCCCCACAACGTTTTTGGTCCCCACAAAATAGGTGAAATGTCGAGTGTATGTCCCCACAACGACGTTGCGGGAGTGTATGTTCGCACCATCCTATAAAGCCACAACTGCATGATTGTGGCAGTACGCATTTAACGGATAAAGATTTTACTCAAATGTTAAATGTACTGCAAAGTATTTATCAGAGGTTTTCTTCATTATTTCTTTATGACCACCAACAAATTAACCCCAGCAGTGATCAATCCTTCACCTGTCAGAGAACTGAGGACTGTTAGGGTTAATGACATTTGTTTCACGATGTGGATGTGAAAGGAACAATTAATTCCATGCGCGTCTAGGCCAGGATCTGAACGTGGCGTAAGAGGTATTGATACCAACAGCACTACGTTTCACAATAAATTTCAATTATACTTGTACATATTTGCTTACAACTTCTTTAAAATTGGAAAAATATTTAGTGCCTCGCCTTTCTACCCGTTCTAGCGCTTTTCTTTATTTTCCAAACACGGTAATCAGGCCTGCACACAGTAGGTCTAACAGCCGGTTCACGCAAAAGCGAAAACACGAACGCGATATTTTGACGTCAAATCAAGTATTGGGTTGACAAATTAGCAAAATTTGAACACATTTCAACTCAAGCGAAATTTCGCAGCAAATCTTTCATGACGTCAATTTCGCTTCAATTTGGCATTCGCCTTCAGTGAGGTCGTGTTGCCATTATACAAGACTGTACTTCGAACACACCGACGGTTTCTGTGGTTTTCACAAAACGTGGCGCAACTATGAACCACGTGTAAGTCTTGCGCGGCAAATTGGTGCTGTAGCTGCGCACTATACTTACGCTCGATTTCATGTAAGGTTGCTTAGCTGCTCAACAGCAGTTATATTAAATGTCTCTGACGAAGACAATACGGTTTTGTGGCGGCTTTTCCTTTGCAATATAACAACAGTCATAGAGCAGTTATTGAATTGCACTTCTCAAGGCCATTATTATTTTATTCTATTACTGTGGTGATGAAAAATTACAGGGACTTTTTAAGAAATTTCTGAACACTGAGGGTCTTTTCACTGTAACTTCCAGTCTGCTTACGTTATTAGTTTCAACCTTCATAAATATGTAGTCTGCATGAAGATCACTTTATCTATCAATCTGCAAGCAATTAAACTTTGCCCACAGACATCAATGGACAATGCATTTTTGACATTTTTAACTGTTGCTAGAGGGGGCAAGAGTATTTCATTTCGTTAATGGTACAAGCTTTGAGCAGTATAGTACTATCTTTTGGGAGACGAGTACCGTTGTTAGAAAGTTCGTGTATATTATCAATACTAAATTACGAGGCACTTCCGGTTTGACCGGAATCAGGGACAGGTGATTTTACGCACAGAACAGAAAATGAAGACCTCAATTCACTCCATCCCTTGCTGCAAAACAAAACATGAGGGATCGAATGGTTGTTCTTAGGCTATAGGAATTTTAAAAAATCAAAAACTACACAAATTTCATTGCTCATAATTTGACTCCAGCCTTGAAGATGTCATGATGAGGTCGAAATAATATGATCCACTCCAGATCGGGGTCGATATATATTCAAAGTTTAAAATTCATAGTCAAGTTCGGTTGTTCTTAGTTTTCACTAAAGCAGAAACTAATTCCTATGACTCTATTACGAAGGTGCCAACATCGCAAATCCACAGCAACGGCTGGTTTATCGGATATCTGTGTTTAGTGAGACTTCATTCTATTTACTATCAACCTCGGACACTCAAACTGAATTGAAAAAGACATCAAGTAACGATAATAACAGTATCTTTCCTTTGTTAATTTTATTATTACTATAATCAGAAAAAAGTCTGTGCTTATTTGTTACTGGTTTCGCTTTCATGTTGCGTCACTCGACGTACTTAATACTACTGAGACACT